TTTCTTTCTTTCTTTCTTTCTTTCTTTCTTTCTTTCTTTCTTTCTTTCTTTCTTTTTTTTTGGGTTCAATTCCAATGTATGCACACAAAACTCTCTATCACTCTCATTGGGAGGGTTTTCACGCTTATTCAGTGCACATTTTCCGTTTGTGAACGTTTGCGAACGAACCCGGATTCTGTTGACAGAGCGGAGACGATTGGGTGGAGAGCGGGAATTTTTCTGTTGAATTTCGTCCTAGGGCTCAGCTTTTGTGTTTGCACGTCACGATGATGCAGCCAGAGACCGCTCTGCATTTGCACAGCCAGTCAGTCACAAGTGGCATTGTGCGTAGTAGAGTTGAGAAGACCTACTGTATTTTCTAAATATAACAAGAACAACCCCCCACCTTCCCCTTCCCCTTTCCCTGAAAAAAGAAAATCCCAATTTTAAAAAAAGACGATCCGTTGAACGTTTAAACAACCTCTTGAAAGTTAGCTTTCCCCTCCTCTCTTGTCACTGATAGTAGTGATAGTGTACCCCCGGGGCAGTGCCACTGACTGTAGTGTCTTTAGGCCATTCCCAAAGGGGGGACATTTCTTGTTCATGCACAGTAGAATTGTAAATGGGCTGGTACATCATGTCACGCTCATAACTGTGCCTGATCTACAACAGGGAGCTGCTGCTTTTTCTTTCGTAATCCTTACTATCGTCATGTTCCTCTACTTCTTTTGTATGTTTGTCACACTCTTGTGACCAGCCGGGGTGCCTTGATAGTCGAAGCAGACTTTGTGCTGTTGAAGCAAGAGAGATGAGCAGAGTAAGTCTGATTCCCTGTAAAGACTTCTCTGTTGACACCCACCCATTGGCGCTCATATGGCCGTATGCAGTTGCGAGCGCCGTAAAACCCTCTGCTATAAAAAAAAAACACACCACAAAAACTGATAGTGTGTGTGGCTAATGTGTCTCAGGAAGGTTCACAAGTAGTAAGACTGTAGTTCTGTAAGTCGACAAAACGATACATTTTTGCATTGTTGTCATGTACATGTATATGTATCAATTTTTTTCAGGTTCCCACATGCTTGTCCCACAAATCTATTTCTTTAATGAACGTTAAACGTTAAGTTATAAAACTTTTCTTGCATTCTTAAAAATGGTATTTCAAAGAATGTTTCTCTAATGCATGCATGCCACATTGTTTTGTTGTCGTATTTTTTTTCTCATTTTAGTGACCACACATCTGTTTACAATACGGTATGTGTGATATCATTATTAGTATTGTTGTAGGCTATAGATATTTGTATGATTAATGCTATTATCAATAATACGTGTAATTAGTTTAAAGTAAATGGAGATGATAATTATAATAGCCTGATAATAATTCAAAAACAAAAAATAATACAAACGATAATCTTGATGATGATGATGATGATGATGATGATGATGATGATGATGATGATGATGATGATGATGATGATGATGGCAGAACCTTCTATATGCGCTTTGAAAAGCATTTTGCTTTAGTAAGTGTTTTACAGCACTTGCAAAACAATGAGGTTATATAAGTGCCAAAGATTAGAGGTGTTACAAGAGAGTAAGAAACACAAAAAAGAAGGAGAAATGATAAGGACGACAGATGTTTGATAGGAAAGAAGAAGCAAACCACACCAGAGCATGCGCCAACCACCCGCTAGAAAAGCATATTTTATTCTGGAATTTTTCTAGTTCAACGTG